TTCCACTGCCACATCTGCCTTTATATCCTTGACACACATGCACAGTAGTGGTAACTGGGGTAGGCCGTGGACGTCACAAGTAGTTAATTTTAACTGCATCCACTTTTGTTTATTTGATTTAAACATATTTGCCTTCCATGGACCTCCATCACACATTTTTCTAGTGGGGAAATGACATCAATAGAAACACGTGGAGCTGGATATTAATTTGTTCAATAAGACAAAACAGTCTTGTTGTTTTCAACAGATTTCACCTTAAAAAAATAAGTTACACAACTGATGTTACAATACAAAGAGTTGGATGTTGTCTTGATATTTGTTAATTTTTATATATTGAGAAATAGGTTAAATAAGAAATAATAAATAAATGTTTATTATAGTTTTTCCAGAGTGACTTGAATTTTGCATGATTTAGTTCATTTGTTAGATCGTTAACATCTTGCACTATATTTCTTTTACTTGAATTTTACATGCTTTGGTTGAGATTTTATGTTGATGTTAAATCTTAAGCTTTTTTTGTTAAAGAATTGACTCTAGAGTGCATATTTTGTGTCCATGAAAAAAACTATTAAAGAAACTATTACAATATTAAAGAACTGTTCTTGTTAATTTGATGAAAACATTTTAAATACCCAGTGCACTCGCATCAGAATAACTTATAGATTTGTTGTTAGAATAATCGAAAAAATAATCGTTAGATTAATCGATTAGAAAATAATCATTTGGTACAGCACTAGTTTGAACGTTACCAATTGACTGCGGCCAGGGGGAGAGATGTCAAAGCTGATACATCATCACACACTCCTCCCGCCCACTTTAGACTTTTGTACCTACAATTTTCCATTATATTAAATTTGTACGCGACAAAGTGTCTCATTACTAACACACATATTTAACCTGGGTGCGTGACTCAACTTCTGATAGCAAAAATGCTCTAGTGATGAACATAGCAACAAGATAAGCCCTCCTGCTCAGGTCCAAGTGAAGTAAAGGATAACAGGTACCCCAAACAAGCAACAGCCAAAGACCAGTCATCATTAGTCCCCTTGGTTGTACAAGCTTATAGATTGTGTATTAGAGTTGGGCATAATCATATCGTGTGCAATTAATTGTCAGAAAAAAACATTAATCGATTACTTTTTTGGCACTTGACGATTAATACGATTAATGCCACCAGGCAGAGTCTGCTCGCTGCTCCTCTCTGCTTCAAATATGACAAACATTAAAATAAAGTTCTGTAATTTATTTATCTAACAACACAATTTAAAATTAGATGTGTAGCCTGAAGTCTGTAATTTTGACACAGTTTGGAACAGATTTTTATGATGAGCAAATCTTTCCCACTAAATTGGTCATGTGACCAGGACATAAGAGTGTCCAGGGACTCCAGGGGATTAATCGTCAAATTAATCGTTGTCGGCTAAATACCACAATTAATCGTGATTAATTTTTTTGCCAATATTGCCCAACCCTATTGTGTATTTAAATGTATTATTATTATTACTATTATTATATGTAAAATGTTTTGTTAATAAAAACAAAACATAACATAATTG